TTTTTTTGTTTGTTATGGCTTCTTTTGTTTCAATATTTTGCGTTTTTTTTTTTTTTTTTTTTTTTTTTTCAATTCTTTGCAGAAGTGCCAAAAAGAGGCCAACAATGGAAAATTCAAGCTCCGAGACATACTGTCCGTTCCCATGCAGAGGGTGCTCAAGTATCACTTGTTGCTCGACAAACTGGTCGAGGAGACGCCACGAGAGTGGGTCGAGGACATACGGCTGCTGACGCAAGCTCGGGAAGTCATGGTCGACGTGGCCCAGTACATAAACGAGGTCAAGCGCGACTCGGATACCATCGACATCATCCGGGACATTCAGGAATCCATCGTGGACTGGGAGAGGTCGGAGGACTTTCAGCTCAAGAATTACGGGAGGCTGTTGAAGGACGGGGAGCTCAAGATCAAAGCTCACGGCGATCAGCGGATAAAAGCTCGCTACGCTTTTGTTTTCGAGCAAGTGGTGCTGGTGTGCAAGGCTGGCCGAGGCGACGTCTTTTGCTACAGGGAGACCATTAGACTGGACGAGTATAGAGTCGAGGACCCGTCGAACCGCAAGATACTCGGCCGCGACTCTCGATGGTCGTTCCAGTGGCTGCTCGTGCAGAACAAGAACAAACAGGCTTACACTCTGTACGCGCGCTCCGAGGACCAGAAGCAAATGTGGATCAAAGCCTTGCAGGACGCGATGGACAACATTTACCCGGCGGCTTGTCGCAACACGAACCACAAGTTCAAGCTCACCACGTTCGACAGTCCTCGCAGTTGCGAAAGATGCGGCAAATTCCTCAAAGGAAGGATCTTTCAGGTTCGCGGAGGCCAAGGGAAAATTCCCTACCCCGAGCGATACGTGAAATGTACGGATGTATTTTTCATTTCAGGGTTACAAGTGCGATGTCTGCCGATTGTCGGTTCACAAGCAGTGCATCGTGTATTCCGGGCGTTGCGTGCCGATGCCGCCTGTCCCGCCATCACCGCCCTCGCCGTCCCCGCAGCCGTTCGAACGCGAGTTGTCGGCCAAGCTGTGGTACGTTGGAGAGATGGGCAGGGACGCGGCCGCGACTAAACTGGAGCAGCGCGAGAATGGAACGTACATGGTTCGAATACGCCCGCCCACGGGACACCCGCGTCTCAAAGACGAAACGAACTATGCGTTGAGTATCAAGTGAGTATTTCTCTTGGGCATTGCCAACTCGTTTGCCAATATTTATGAATTAATTTTTTTTTTTTTTTTTTTTTTTTTTTTCCAGGATCGACCAACTTGGTTTTACAGCACGTACTGTAATTTTTCGAGATAATAAAACACTCTCAAAGTTCACCTTGCCATGAGGCGTTTCGCTGGGATTCGCTGAAATAGTAACATGGGACGAAGCGGATAATTTATTATACAATGTTAAGTATGGACGTTAGGATATAGGATATAGGAAGGAAGTATCGCGTTTATTATTGTTATTTTTTTTTAATAGTATTTTTTCTTACCGAGTTAAAAAAAAAAGTGGCTCAGGGATCTATGGGTTGGCGTTTGTTATTGGACGCTCATTGGATAGTTCATTTTATCTTTGTCGCCTTGAGTGTCCTTTTATTACACCCGTGAACAAAAAAAGTACATGCATTTGGCGAGCGATTCGCCTTCCGCTGTAACAAGTTGGTATACGTTCTTTTTTTTTCTTCGCGGTAATTTCAGGCACTGGCCTTTATAAATGGCACAATAAACCTTGCGAGATCGTTTCCGCCACTGAGGGAAAAAAAAAAGAATTCAATCATCATCGAAATTGCATCCATCCTTTAATTGACGTATAATCGAACAGGAGTGTATGTCGCACTAGAATGAGTAAATTAAACGGACGTAACGCGAGAAGAGCTCAAGAATTCGACAAAACTGTATACTCAATAATACCTCTAGTACACAACCCATGTGATTTCAGACATAAAGTTAAATATATTTGTACATTATGTACTATCACATGTGTCTACGTACAACTTTCTACACTTGCTTGAAATTCTCGTTTCACAGTCACCTATTACGTGTTATATTTTTGTTCGTAATCAAACATATTACGTGTGCGTACATTTTCTAAAAATAAAAGTTGATGAAAAGAGAAAATCGTCGCGAGACTTACGTTCGAGCAGCTGTCGATCGCAGCTGCGATATTTCGTGGCAACGACTTCGATGCCGACAAACAGACCGACGGTCACCAGTAGACAGCAGACCGACATGACCAACAAGCCTCGCTCCAAGGCCGTGCGACTTTTCCACCAGTTTGTGTTTCTGCAATGTTGTATGAAAAAAAAAAAAATTTGGTGAACGTTTTGTTGGTCTATACTCATTTTTATTGTATGTTTTATAACAGAAAACGAAGGATTATTGAGACTTTACACTTCCGTAGTTTCGACATTTGGTGAGCTTCGTTTGTGATCAGAGTGCCAGAGATTCATAAATATTTTTCAACACTTAAACTTTTGTTCGATTGGAGTTCTACTCAGTCATTTAAGTATTATATTTAAAGTAAAATACACTATTTATATAGTGTTTGGAGAGAAGTGTTTAAATATAATTCAAGTTAAAAAAAAAAAAAAACATTTAAAAATGTAATTTTTAAAAACAGTACTCAGAATTTTGTTTAACACTTTATTGTAAACCCAATATTTTTTAATGAAAATAAAAAATCAAAAAGAATACTTGAATATAATTGTACTTGATCGAGTTACTTGAAATATAAGCAAACACAAAGATAATATTTAAAAAAATGTTTATTGCCATACTGTAATTTTCTAGACTTTTTCCCGATCCAAAGATTTTCTAGAAATAGATTTGATTACATTCGTGCTAACATGAACTCCTTTTTGTCCTTTTATGCACATACAGGCTTGTTGTAGTGTTGCTTTAAAAGTCGTGTCTTGCCAAACACAAAAGTGCTTCAATAATCGAATTTTATTTATTGTATCTGATCAAAGTTTTGAATCCATCTGTTTATTAATACATTTGTTAATAATAATTTATTTTAAATACTTAATTCAATTGAATACTTGATGCACTTCTATTTGAAGTTATATTTTTAATGCAATTATCAATTATAAACAAATATAATATATTTCAAAGAATGTAAAAAAATACAATCTCAATGTTTTTTTGTATTTACAATTTTTTATTTTATTTTTTCCATGTTAGACCTGAAAAAATATGTTTGTCTCTTATAATGTAAATTCTTTAAAATTATTTTTTTCTGTTATATTGTTCTAATACCTTAAGAAATAAAAAAACACCACCCTAGTGGTAGAGACTCTCACAAGTTCTTATCTTTGAACGACATATCTTATATCTCTTTNCTGATAAATTTATCACTGAAGAAAAAGTTGGATTATAATTGACATACTCTTCTATAGGGAAAAATTATATTTTTTCTAAAGTTACAAGTGTGATAATGCCTTTGCTTTAAAAAAATTAACTAAAAACATCTGCTGCCGTAAAAAAAATTTATTGGTAAAGTTCAAAATAATTTTCATTGGTTATAGTGCCAAAAAAATTTTTATTTTTCAAATATCTACGCTTTTTGTGTTCTACGTTTAAAATTTCCCAAGAAATGTCAAATGAAAAATTTATACAATATTAAATTATTTTTCAGACGACTAAAAATTAGTTATTTAAAGCGTTAGAAGGGCTTTTTTGAAAAAAATGTATATTATAGTGAAGTGCATTGTTTTTTTTAGTTTTTTGTTGTTCTTTATGTACTGAAATGTTGATTTACTTTTTTATAATAATTTGCAAGGAACAGGTTTTCAGTTGTTTTTGTACCAATTTTGCATAATTGAATATCTGCATTGCATCTAAAGTAAATCGTATAAAAAGAAATAAAATGCAGTTGTTTATCTAGATTTTTTATATTTTTTAACATCAGCTTTTTATTGTTGTAGCAAAAAATAAAATGAAAAACTATAAGCATATAACGATGTTTTAATTAATTGTACATTAAAATTGATCATAGTACTTAATTAAAATTAAATTCCACCAAACCTAATAGGCTGAATTAAAAATGGCCAACGCTCGGACATAATTTATCTAGTAACGATGTCTTAATAGCCGCGCTCAACAACACGAAAATTAAGCGATAGCATTATTAAGTAGGTATAAAAGCAGTACAGTAACAATAGGCACAATAGAAAGAGTACGCGCGCTTTCGTGTGGAGGAATATGCACATTTGATAAAAATAATATTTCTCGGAGGATTCTGCACTGTATACGTGCCATGAACTTACTACAAGCTCACACACATCCATACATGTGTATGTACCAATGTGCCTACACAAATGTTTGTGTGTATATTGCCGGTGATAACAAGGGACGCACATACGCGTGCCGATTCATACGTATTTTTTTATATAAGTTTGTTCCTTCGATGGATTTGAATTCATGTTGGAACTGCACGCGCGTTTGTCGGTGATTTTATTGAAGATACGTGTGAGATTGTTCGTGAGATCGGTAAGACGAATTTTTCCTTTCAAGAGACAGCTGTAATTTATAAAATTTTAGCCCCATATTTTATAATTATCGAAACGCAACGTTACATTTCGATAACATGAGACGTATGTTTTTTTTTTTTTTTTTTTTTTTTTTTTTTTTTTTTTTTCGTTATTATACTCGTATTTTATACAAACAAGAAAAAAAAATGATGCTATCATCAAACGCATTAGCGTGTGAGTTTTGGATGCAACTCACGTATTCTGTAAGTATAATATCTACACGACAAAGACAAGTTTGGTATTCGCAACAATAATTCAAACTAGTGATTGAACACACAATAATAGTACAGGAGGAGTAAGAGGAAAAGCAAACTAGAAAAAAAAATGAAAAGCCTTTTAAGTACGTGATGATAATTATTTCAATACAATAAAAATAAAAATAAATACAGCATCCAGAAATTAAATATACGTATATGTATAGGCATACAAAAAAAAAAAAAAAAAAAGTCATCCGTGTATTACAAAGCACGTACATTCGCAGAATCTCCACTATGTAGGAATCAATACTAACTTGACGATGATCTGCTCGGTGTTTGTCATCTTTGATGAAAAATTGTGTTTATTTTGTTCACTCACAAAAACAGCGTAAAAAATGTGTATCAATTAAACTTAATAAAACTTTCGGCACCTTTGATGGTGAAAAAAGAAATTTACGACAAAATGAAAGGAGATGAGAGAAAGAGAGATAGAGATGTGAGGAAAAATGCACGCACACGTCAGCGCGAGTGGCACGGTGGCTTGGTCATGACGATCGCGAAACTAATACTGAGCGTCCGCGTGCTTTTCCCACCGGTATTTAAAACCTCTGCTCTCCTCCCTCTCTTTTTCTGCTCCTTTTCGTTGATCATAGGTGTACGTATTTATGTACTGCTCCTTACTTGGTGTAGCTGGCTGAGAGGATACGTCTATTATGTAAAAGTGCATGGTATTCCATTGTACGTCGTGGTCAAATGATCTTTATCATTTTTTATTTTTTTCGTGTTCCATATTGTCCTATTGTAAACCCAATATTTTTTAATGAAAATAAAAA